AACTCGATTTGAAAAATTGAAAATAGTCTATTTCATCTGCTCCATTAGAAAATCTCTTCAAGAGCTAAAATTATATTTTTTCTCATCTTTTTATCAAAATACCGTCGTGATCTTCGTTTTTGTGTTGGAGCGTCTAATAAAAAATAGTTAAGTCAAATATGTGATCTTGTGAAGAAAAAGTCGTTGGCTTATATAAAATTTTTTTGGTTACACTTAAGATATAGCTACAAAAAATGATGACTGTTAATTTATTCTCACAAATTTCTCATCTTGATAACAGAACTTATAGGTTATTTTGTATTGATATAACAACTGCAATATTTATTCATTTGCACTGATACTATCATCTATCATTCATATTAACACATATTTACAACATTTGATTATATTCAAAAATTTTATCGAATGACATTCATTATTATCAATAATAATCATTAATAAAGTTCGTCATTCATAGTTTCATTCTAATCGATCTAAATCTGTTCACCAATTATTAGAAGTTATTGGAATATATTTATTTCAGTTTATTTACCAATTAATTACATCTATTATTTCTACTCTTTTCTATGTCACGTTAACAAAAAGTCCATGAAAAAATGTACATGGGTAAAAAAAACACTACACATAACTATGGAAAAACATTAACATTAATGTGTCTATTCAGGTACACATTCTTTTTGTGTATTATTCCACACATGATCTATGTCACGTGATTTTACAACCACATTAAACATATCTGACGGACAAATATAAAAGGCTTTATTAGTAAATGATAAAGCGCCAACAAAAGGTTCATTGCCATCACAAACTTTATGAAATGCATTTTCACTATGATAATTATTGAGTGCTATAAACGACTCTCCTGGAACATTCTTTATGTAACATGCACAAATGTAAGGAAGAGCCTTATCCGATGTAAAAACATGACAGAATGGTACAATATCCAATGTTTTAGTACCACATGTACGTTCAGAAAAAAATCTTTCTTGTATTTGACAATGAACACCTGTATATGGATAACGACAAGCACAATGATATGCATCAGCTGATGACAAATCAAAACAAAGATCATCATTTTGACAAAGCTTCAAAGCACATCGAGATTCAGAAGGATATACTGTTGTACTTGCTAAAATAATACAAAATAGTTTAAAAAATCAAAATGTTATTTTCTCATATTAACTTACTAGTTTTGTTGACACATCCCCTCTTGAAATGTCACCTCAGTACCTGGTGGACATAATTGTTCAATGCCTATATTATGTCCAGTGCAAAAGACATAACCTGATTTATTCTCAAATGGTCTCACCCTTTGTTCTACATTATAATAGTAACAAAGGTTAGATACTACTAAAATGATGAGTATAAGTGAAGAGAATGATATTTACTTTCAGTTTCATATAATGCTGTATCGAATTCATAACCATTAATCAATCGATCATATTTACCGCGTTTGTATTCGATAAATATTTTATAGCCCATCTTTCACTACCTAGAGTTAATTATATTATGCAAGTAGTAAATTAATCAAATTTTTATAAAAATGTATGGAAACATTTTCATGTATTAGATATGCCATGAAAGATTACAAATTGATCGATTAATATAATTTAAAAAATATATTTAATTCACTTGTACTTTGTATCAAATACAAAATCTCATTGATTGCAAATTTTCTAAGGAAATCAGAGAAAGAAAAAATCGATCCTTATAAATTCAATGAATCCTTCTGAGTCTTGGTGATCGATTTATACAAGACCACTAGAATCGATCAAAGCTCATGAGAATTTACTCTTTTTCTTTTTGTTCAATTTGTCTCTTGGAATATTTTGCATTCTATTGGATGTTTACACAGCTTGCTCAGAATTTTATTTTTGGCTTTTTTTTCTGAATCCTCACAAAAAGAATGGAGGATTTGTTAAACATAGATTTTCTAAACTGATATTTAGTCAGGTTAGTATGAGAAAGTTATTATTGATTCAAATTAGTTCAAACTTTGCTAGAATATACACTTCTCTATGCATCAGCAACATGCATAACATCTACTAAGCAGCATAGATATTCCTGATGCACTATCAAATGTAAGAAAAGTTTTGATTTGTAATATAAAGTTGAATGTTCACTTCGGAACATGTTAAATGAAGATGAAAATGATATTTACATCAAACAAACTCCAGCAAGTCATTTACATTACAAAAAGCTTTCAGAAAAACGTTTTTTAGAAAATGAAAATGAAGAAAAAGTATTTTTGGAATATTTCTTGCCGTAAACTTTTTTTATCGAAAATTCTTTTCTTCTCAAACGTGGTTTTATATAGGTGATAAACGATAACTTTGGAGCAACAAAAGTAAACTGTAAGGTGATATGTAATGTTTTTTTACATAGAAATCATCATTGGTTAACCATCGTTGATCAATACAAAAGTAGAAAAGTTTAACAAGTTAAACGTTTGAAAACTAATCAGATAAGAGAACAAAGCATAAACGAATTACATATTCGATGATCTATTCATGGTGTTATCTTATGAAATGTCTTATGTACCTGGCATTGCCAAGCAAAGTGGAATTTTTTCTGTCATTGTTAAAATACAACGTATTTTTTCTGAGATTATGAACGACCATAATAAAAAATGTAAATGTTTTAGATGACATAATAAGATTCTTTTGATGACGCCAAATCTAGTTTCTATTTAAACATTTGTAGCTTAATTAGTCTATGATATGCACATAAATACAAAAAGCAATGGAGAAATGATAGAAATTTGAGCAGCATGTGTTGTTGGAAAGAAATGAGTGAACTGAGTAGGAAGATGAAATCGCTTGATGACTTTTTATCGATTTTCTCATGAACTTAGACCTCCAATGCATACGATAGCATCGACGTATTCCCTCTAGAGAGAAAAATAATGTTTGTCATGTCAGAATAAAAAATAAACTCTGTGGGAGAAAGTAACAGAAATAATTGTGCTCCTTCATTTATAAATTGATCGGATTATAAGATATTGATGTTTTTTCTTCTCTTTCCGTCAAATCATCTAGTTGTTTCGTGGGTGTGGATGTGGGTGGGCGTGGGTGTCAGTGTGGAAGTAGTGTGGATCTGGGTATGTACCTTTTCCTCTGTTTTCAATATACGCACATCGTATATCCACACATACCTACACCCTCTTGATAGAAGTTTTAATCTTTTAGGATTCATTATGATTTAATTCTTTTCAATAAAGAAAAGTTTTAAAAAGGCAAGACATAATATGAAGTATTGAGCTTGGTCTTCCAATCGATTGGCTTATTCCTATCTCTAGGATTTTAATGTTGTTTTCAAAATCAATAATATTATATCAAAAATTAAATATTATTTTATCATTAAATAAACAAATTTCTTGGATTGAAAACCGATGTTATAGTAAAATGAGTATTTATCAAATAAATTAAGAAGAGTTCTTCTTCAATTTTTTTCTTTTCTTATTCTTAGATTTAGTAAAGTCTTCTTTTAAATATTATTTATTGAGATGACATCAGATAAGATATTTTGGACAAATTGATGTATATATCTCACAGATAACTTATTATCAATATCAAAGGTTAACCAAACAATAAAATCTACTTTTGTTGATATCAAACTATTGGTGTTTGAGCGATGGAAAGATGTCAATGAATGATATGTGTGTAGTCTATTTTTTAATTAAAATTAAGCTAATAAAAAAAGTTATTAGAGGAAAGTGATTTGTTAGAGAAATTTATATAATTGATTGGAGTAAATTAATTTTTTCGTTTGTAAAATATAATCCAGTATTCTATCTTGGTTTCAATCATCTATGAAAAACATGCGAAAAATGAGATATTGGCATTTCTTTCCTTTGTGATTGCTTAGAAAACGGAATCGTTTCTTTGTTTTTCTTTTTATAAACAATTCTCTTTCGATGCAATTGATTTGATAGAATCGGTTTTAACATTTGAAAAATCTTATGAAAAAAATAAAATAAAAATTTTCTTTCACTGGAATATTTATCAACGAAAAACAATGTCTTATCAATTTCTGTCAGCAGTAAATTTTTAAAAGAGATCTTTTTTCATTAGGTTGTTTGTCAACAGGATCTAGGTGTGAATTTTGTGCTTCTCCTAGACCTACATTCACTCTCAACGATGTAGCCCATAATAAAAAATTGTATCTTAATTTTATCTTATATGAAATCTCGTGAACCCCGTTTGAAAATGAAGATATGACAGTCTTGAACATATCCATTTGTTCGATTTAAATGAAAAAGCCATAAAAGTGCGCTATTGATAGTTACTCTCTGAATCAAAAGAAACGTTGCCTCCATAGTTGCAGATGCAGGTGTGGAGCGAGGATGGACGACAGCACCCTAAGAGTCACCAACCCCTACGTCCAATGTCCACACCTTTTGCAAACACCGAAATACTCATATTTCAAGATATTATAGGTCTATCATGTACTCGCACTAAAAACTAGTAGCAGCATTGTTTTTATTTTTTAAAAGACAACATCAATAAATATATGCCTTAAGACAACAAGCAATTAATATCAGCATTAAAGCAGCAAAGACAACATAACTCAAGCAATTTGAATATTAGTAGGAAACAAAAGCAAGAATGGTTAAAACTTATGTGAATTTCGATAGTGAATAGAGTTACTCAATATACTATTTGATTGATGAAATGTATTTCTGTGTATTTTTGTTTAAATTATAGTTGTGCAGTAACTCGACGAGATTGAATACGTCTTTTCATCAATCGATAAACTCTTGTAACATTCCAGATGATAAATCGTAAGCCAATTGTAAGACCACCATAGAGACCAGCTACTGATGTAGCCACGTACAAGAGATTATTGTGTGTAACATATTTATAATTGCAATGAGTTGGTGAACATGCAGCAAAATAATTTTCGTATGAGCTGCTATTTGTCCACTCTTCAATAAAGAATTCGTCAAGGAGCATACCGATTGACATGTTATTTGAAAAACGCGAAGGTATTGAATTGCTTAATGGAGATATAGTCAAGGGTAAGACTGTAGGTAGAACGAAATCAATGGGTGGTAGTCCACAGGGCTCGAAACGGGCCGCCCGGCCCGATGGCCCGGCCTGGCCCGACCCGGCCCAGCCCAGCCCGGCCCGGCCCAACCATCTCTTCGGGCCGGGCCGGGCGGACCTTCGACGAAAAA